TGACTCGCGAAGCAATGCTCCTGCTACTCTCACCTTCGAGAACATGGCAGGTGGGTCTCCCCGCTTCCCCTTAATGCCCCTGATGGCACCGGAGGGGTTCCCCTGGGGGCCTGCAGCCCAGCCAGCCAGCGGCTGAGGTGCTGGGTCCTGGCCTACAGGGGTCTTCATGCTGGTGGCTGGGGGCATCGTCGCTGGGATCTTCCTGATCTTCATCGAAATTGCCTACAAGCGGCACAAGGATGCGCGCCGGAAGCAGATGCAGCTAGCCTTTGCCGCGGTCAATGTGTGGAGAAAGAACCTGCAGGTAGGACAGGCCACCCTCTGAGGCCTGGTGCCCATGGCCCAGCCTGGCCCCAGCCCTCCTCCATCCCCACAGGCCGAAGCGCTGGCCCTGGCTCCGGGACCCCTGTGAGCAGGACTGGAGCTAGGAGCCACGGCCAGGGGCAGCGTCGGTAGGGGGCCACCTGCAAGTGGCTGCCCACTGCCAACCAGGCCGAGGGAGGCCACGTGCCCAGCTCCAAGCCTCTGTCTGGCCTCTCTGTCTCCAGAGTCGCCCGCCGGCGCCCATTCCATAGGAAGGCAAACTGAGGCAGGGTAAGACAGGGACCCACCTGGGTGTAGCACGTGAGTCTAAGATGCATTCTGCCCTCGCCGCCCTGCACCCCTCCTCAGCACCCTTCGGGGCCTCCTCCCTTGCTGCCTGCGGTGTCCTGTGCTCCATAACTCCAGTCTGAAGCGGTCCAGCTGGCCCTGCGTGGCGCCCCAGGCTGTGTCTGTGGGAATTTGCTGCCAGCAGGGAACAGGCTGCATGAGGGGCAGCCACCTGGGGTGGGGCAGGCGGTGGGGCCAGTGGAGGCCCGTGGCTCCTGCCCACGGTCCAAGTCCAGTCTGCTGCATCTCTTCTCTTTCTCTGGGTGCCTTTCCAGAGCCTGCGTCCTGGGATGGATTGGCAGTGCAGAGAGGAAGGGCCTTGGGGGATGGGATGCTGGAGCCCCCACACCTCTCATCTGCCCACTCTTGCTCTTGGGACCTGGCCGCTGCTCTTACTGGCGGGCACAGAGCCATCCTGGCCATCAGACTCAAGGCCAGGGTCCTGGGAGCTGCCTCTGTCTATCGCTCCAATTCATCGCGACACCCACCTTTGGCCCCTTGGCCCCTCTGGAATCTTGGCGTGCCCCCTCAGGGGTCGGAATGGCTGGCAGGCCCGAGGGGTGACTCCTCCAGTGTTCGGAGGGCCCCTCCTTGGGATGCCTGCAAACCAGGGCCACGCAAGAGCCAGGGAGCCAGGTGGACCTCCCAGGAAGACAGCCAGACGGGACCCCCCGAGCCTAGCCCCAACACGAGCAAGGTCAGGCCCGCCCTGGGCAGGAGCAGAGGCCGCCTGCGTGTGTCCGGCTCTCAGTCCGTCGGCCCAGCACAGGGAGGCAGGCAGGACGAGGGCCTGAGTGGCTGGCCAGGCCGGGCAGCGGCCCCCGAGGAGCAGGCGAGGGCAGGTGTGGCGTCACCCTTAGCCGTCTAATCACTTATACATATTCATTTTAGGATAGAAAGAGTGGTAGAGCAGAGCCCGACCCTAAAAAGAAAGCCACATTTAGGGCTATCACCTCCACCCTGGCTTCCAGCTTCAAGAGACGTAGGTCCTCCAAAGACACGGTAAGGGGAAGAACGCCCAGTCCCCCGTCTCCGACTCTTCTCTCGCCTCCTCCGTGTCTGTGTCCCGTGCATCAGGCGTGCCCCTCCCTCCCGCGTCATCCCACCCACCCACCCTGACTGCTGTGGCCTCTGCCCTCATCTCTCCTCGCCCAGCACAGTAGGTCTTCACTCTCCGACTCTCCGGGCCTCTCTCTCGGCCTCTCTCCCGCTGGCCCTCACTGGGTCCTCTCCCCATGTGTCTCTGCGTTAGTCTGCCCGCCATGCCATGACGCCATGCGCCATCTTGAAGCTGTGTCATGTTGTTGGTCAGCCAGTCAGCCTCACCACCTCGGGGCCACTCCTGGGGCCCCTGGGAGCCCAGAGCTGCTCTGTCCGGGGTTCCTCACATATCGGGAGGCCACACCACCTCACTGTTACGTCAGTTTCTCAGCCTCTCCTGGGGGAGCCGCTGCCCCCTTTCCCTCCCCCAACATCCATGGAGGAGTAGCTGTGATGTCCCATCCGTCCATCTGTTTGGCTGCCAGCCCCGCCACCCAGACACCTGTCTCACGTGTCTCACCAGAGCCATGCCTGTTGCATCCCCCCATGTGGTCTCTGTGTGGGCCGGGGCTGGGGCCGGGCCTGGCTCCATCTGGGTGGACGGTTGGGGCCTAGAGTTGGAACAGGCCCCCAGCCACAGGGGACCACCAGGCAGGGAGTGGATTGGACCAGAGAGGGCAGCTCTCACCCCAGGCTGAGCAGGGACCCTGCAAGAGGTGCACCAGCTGCCCCCAGGGGGTCTGAGAATGGGTGGGGGTGGCCCGGAAAGCTGTGGCCTGCAGTTTGGGGCACAGAGGCCCAGGAAGGGAAGGCCTCCTTGGAGGAGACCAGCACCTCAGCTCCTGACCCCTAGCCCTACCCCACAGGACCATGTCTGAGCCAGGCCTTCCAGCTGAGCCGAGTTCCCTGCCCTGCTGCCCTGGGCAGCTTATCCCTGCACTGGCTGTTCACACTTGAACCAAAAGCTCCCCAAACGGACTCAGCCTTGCTAGGGGCACCCCAGTCCCCGGTGGGAAGGAGGCCGCCCAGAGTCAGCACAGCCCTCGGCCCAGGACCCCCTGCCACCAGGGGCAAGTTTGGCCCCGAGTCCACAGGAGCTGTGCTCCAGCGTGGAAGTGGGTTTGCACCCCCTGCCCAAGTGCACAGGAGAGGCAGGCCCCCAGGACACAGCCAGGGCTTGGCACAGAGCAATCTGAATTCAAGGTGAAGCCACCAGGGTGCCCCAAGAGAGGCTCGTGAGACCTGTCTGCTCCTCTTCCCAGGAGAGGCTGGACACAGGGATAGTGGGTGGACAGTGAGGGTCTGTGGGGCTGGAGCACAGGCTGGGCCACCCAAGCCCAGGAAGGGGGCAGGAGCCAGGGGTACCACCAGGCGTGCAAGGAGAGGAGGGTGGGTGCACAGGACCACAGAGTAGTGGGGGCGGGGCAGTCCAGGGGTGCAGGTATCCCCAGCACACAGTGCTTTTGGGCAGGCAACTGACAAGGGGAGCACAAAAGTCACACAGGCAGTGAGCCACTTTCTGCAGGTGCCACTGAGTCCTGGCCCCGGCTCCCGCCTAGAGGAGACAGGCATGCCTCTTAACCGGCTCAGGGGCAGTTCAGAGATCCGTAGTGCCTTTCTGGGACACACTCCCATTGGAGGCCTCACCTGAGCCTCCCTGGACACCAGGGACCATCCCCCAGGCCAGCCCTGGCCCCCTGTGGCATCTGGGACTGGCCCTTCCCGGCAGGGGTGACTGGGGACCCTGCCAGCTGGGGAGACGGGGTGGGGGGGCAGCCCAGCTCCCACTCTGTTTTGGGCTGGGCACCTGCTTGGAGGGAGGCCTGGGTGGGGGGGCTCTGTCGGGATGGGTGGGGTCGATCTGGCTGCTGAGATCCTCTGCCCCTGTCTTGTGGCCGGTCTGGGCCAGGGTGGCACTGGGCGCTCAGGGCTGGGGTCCCTGGCGGCCAGCGGGGCCAGCGGGTATTGATTGTTGGTTCTTATTTATAGAGCACCGGGGGTGGACGCGGCGCTTTGCAAAACCAAAAAGACACAGTGCTGCCGCGACGCGCTATTGAGAGGGAGGAGGGCCAGCTGCAGATGTGTGCCCGTCATAGGGAGAGCTGAGACGCCCTGCCCGCCCTCCTCTGCCCCCTCCCCCGCAGACAGACAGACAGATGGACGGGACAGCGGCCTGGCCCACGCAGAGTCCCGGAGCACGACGGGGTCAGGGGGAGGAGCACCCCCCAGCCTCCCCCAGGCCGTGCCCGCCCGCCCGCCCGCCGGTCGGCCGGCTGGCCGGTCCACCCGTCCCGGCCCCGCTCATGCCCCTGAGCATCGGGCTAACGGGCTGCCTTGTCTGTGTATTTCTATTTTGCAGCAGTACCATCCCACTGATATCACGGGCCCGCTCAACCTCTCAGATCCCTCGGTCAGCACCGTGGTGTGAGGCCCCCGGAGGCGCCCACCTGCCCAGTTAGCCCGGCCAAGGACATTGGTGGGTCCTGCTGCTCGGGAAGGCCTGAGGGAAGCCCACCCGCCCGAGACTGCCCACCCTGGGCCTCCTGTCCATTCGTCTGCCCTGCTGCCTGGCGGGCAGCCCCTGCTGGACTGAGGCGCGGACCAGAGCGGCTGAGGACGGGTCAGAGCTGAGCTGGCTGGGCAGGGCCGCAGGGCGCTCCGGCAGAGGCAGGGCCCTGGGGTCTCTGAGCAGTGGGGAGAGGGGCTAACCTGACCCCAGGCAGAGGGGCATGGAGCAGAGACTGAAGCCCCATTCTTCCCCAGCCACTACCAGAGCCACATGGGGGCCTGTGGCCCCTGGTGGCTCCATCACCCCTGCTGCAGCGCCCACTCCTGGCAGCCTCGGCTCCACCCTCTCCTCTTCTTCCCCTTCCCCTTCTCCTCTTGACACCTTTCGCGAACCGGCCCTGCCCTTCTCAGAGTGCACACCCTGACTCCCCAGCTGGCAGCTACTTCGCAGGGGCTTGCTGGGGCTCCCCGCTGCCTCCGACCTTTTCCTCCAGACTCCGACTGAGCCTTCTCTTCGCCTCCTCCGGCATGCAGCCCAGGATGGGCTTCCCCAATCTCTGGCTGGGGACTGTCCTCAGCCCTGCCTGCCACTGTGTACAGGCCCAGCCGGTCCCGTGTCGGAGCGTGTGCCTTCCCCTAAGGCCTGTGCGCAGCCCCAGAAGCCCGGAGCGCACCGCACCGCTCCCCTGACCTAGTGTGTGCAGTGGTGATGCCTGAAAGAATGTCACAAAACTTTCGGTCTGTGTCGCTTGTTGCCTCCTGGAGGGAGCGTGAAGGGGGACGGGGGATAGGGAGAAGATTCAGTATGCAGATCCGGGCGGTGGCGGCGGGACCCCCACCGCCCCCGAGTGCGCAGGCGAGGCCCAGCCGGGGCCGAGGTTCTGAGGTCTCCGCGGGCAGCGGGCAGCTGCTCGTTGGCGGCGCGCGCGGCAGGCGGTGAGCACGGAGCCCAGCGCCAGGCAGACGGCCAGGCTAGCGAGAAAGGAGACGGGCCCGAGCGCGTAGATCACGGCGAGGTCCCGCGCGGAGAGCGGCTGCAGGCAGTGGCTGAAAGCGGCGTCGGGGAAGGCGGTCAAGGGGCTGGGCGCCAGGCGCCCCGGCGACAAGCAGAACAACGTCTCGGCCTCTGCAGGACATGGGAGCGGCGTCAAGCAGCAGCGAGGCCGCGGCCGCGGCCGCCCCGTCCCGCCCGCGCCCCCGGAGCTCACCTGGCGCGGGCCGCGGGTGACCACGCAGCCAGGCGCAGAGCGGGCGCAGTGCGCAGCCGCAGGCCCAGGGGTTGCCGCGCAGGCGCAGCGCGTTGAGCGCCGGCAGGCCGGCCAGCAGGCCGGGCGCGAGTGCCGACAGCTCGTTGTCCTGCAGGCTGAGCGCGCGCAGCAGCGGGAGCGCGCCCAGCGCCGCGGGCTCCAGGCGCGCCAGCCGGTTGCCCGCCAGCGAGAGATTGCACAGCGCGCGCAGCGGCGCGAAGGTGCCGGGCGCCAGCGCCTCCAACTGGTTGGCGCTGAGATCGAGCTGCCGCAGCGCGCCCAGGCCCCAGAAGGCCCGCGCGTGCACCCGGCGCAGTCCGTTCTCGCGCAAGTCCAGGCGCAGCAACGCCCCGGCGCCCACGAAGGCTCCGGGCGGCAGCGCGCGCACGCGGTTGTGGTCCAGCAGCAGGGCGCGCACGCGCAGGCTCAGTCCCTCCGGCACCGTGGGCAGCGCGCGCCCGGAGCAGTTGGCCTGGCCGCCTGGCGCGCACGCGCACGCCTCAGGGCAGTCCCGGGAGCCCGGGGTTCCCGTCGGGGGGACCTCGGCAGGCGCTTGAGCCCAGATTGGCCACGGCGACAGGAGCAGCAGCAGCAACAGCGGCCGTGACAGCCACGAGAGAAAGGAGGGGCTCAGCATGGGGTCAGCCGTGGGACCCGCGGTGGGAGGCCTGCTGTCCGTGTGTCCCTGAAACCCGTCCGTCCCTTCTGCGTCGGCACAAATATTAGCTCTCCGGCCCAAGCGGCAGTTCCTGCCCCGCGGCTGGTCCCGCCTAGGGCAGGGGCTAGGCACATAGCCAGGACCCAGCACTGCCAGCCACCTGTCCCGGAGCTCCAGTCTCCTCTCGGCTCCACGCCAGAGTGGCGCTGACGAGATGCCCCCGCCCCGTGTCGTGCACCACCCTGAGCTCCTATGAGGCCTGAGTGGCTGGACCACACACACACACACACACACACCACCCACCATGGATGCAAGGCAAGGAATGAGACCCAGTGTCCCTTGCTCCTCACCCGTCTCTGCTATTCCGGGCTCAATGAGGTGACCCTCCTGCACATACATACACAGTGCACGTAGGGGTGGCCCCATCCCAAAGGTGCATGATTGATGTAGCACCTGATGGGGGCCTGAGCCCAGGGGGCAGGCCATGCGTGGAGGGAGACTGCACACCTGAGGCAGGGGAAGACAATCACATCTGCCCCACTGCACCCTACGAGATTCTAGAACCTCAAGGAGACAGTGGGGGTGGGGCTGGGGCACCAGTGAACATTCTCCTATCAAATGCTTCTCCCTCTGGAATGGCCAGAGTTGCCGGTTCTGCCCTGGGGTTTTCCGAGGGTGAGGTGGGCAGGGTCCCAGGATCCCTGCCAGCCTCACGGGACAAAGCAGCAGGAAGAGTTGGGCTGAGGCTACTGCGGAAGAAGTGGAAGAGCAGGGTGTGCCCCCCCCCCCCGTGTTACACTTTGTACCCCATGGAAGAGATGACAGACCCCTCCCCCACCCGAGACGCAGCTGCATGGGGCTCTGTGAGGACAGTGCAGAACCACTAAATACTCTTTACTTCCCCTTCCCCAGCTGCCCACAGCCCTACTCAGGTAGGGGATCACAAAGAGGCAGCTCCTCTTGAGTCAGGGAGAGGTCCATGGGGTCCATGGGGATGGTGATGAGGCCCTGATCCTCCAGGTTGGGGTCCATGATTTGGGACTCCACACGCACCGTTTGCAGGTCCATGTGCTCCTCTTGCAGGTCCATGTGCTCCTCTTGCAGGTCCATGTGATCTTCCTGGACCCCGAAGTGCCCCACCAAACTGCACGACGGGGGCGGGGTCAGTGTTCCTGACGCAGCTGCGAACCGTGTCTCCCAGGGGCAGGAAGCAGGGGCAGGAAGCAGGGGCAGAGCTCACCCTCGGGGTCCTCCCTTCGGGTCACTTACCTGTTGTCCATGGTTTCATGGCATGTTTCACTGGGGAGACAAAGGCAGGTGTGAATCCTAGAACGGGGCTGGACTCCAGGAGCCTAGAAGTGCCCCCCACCTCTCCCCAGCCCACAGTCTTGGAATGCTAGGCCCAAGCCCCCGGAGACATCCCACCCCGGGGACAGAGGCCCTTCCCCTGGCCAGACTGGGGGCCCAGGGCAGGCAGCATGGCCCTGCAGCCCTCACCCACCCACCCTGGTCCTGGGGCTCGCACACCTCTTGGCTCGAATGACACCAACAACCACAATGACAAGAGCAAAGAAGCAGCTGGCACTGATGCCCACCAGCACCACAAGCAGGGCAATGAGGGCCTCGCGGCTGAGGCCAAGGCTGCAGTCGCAGTAGGTTCCAGCTGCAGAGACAGGGCCCAGGTGGCCAAGGGGACGTCAGCCACCAGTTGAGGGCCCTTAGGGCCATCTCCCAGCCCCGGTGGCCACCAGGACATGGGTGTGCCTGGCTCGCTGGGACAAGGGCAGGGCCCTGACTGAGGGTAGGGCTGGGGAGGGAGAAGCCACCTGCAGCAGGGATGACCGAAAGGGACAACGAGATCAGGGCCAGGGGGCTGCCGACCAGGCAGGAGTCGGGCTGCCGACAGGAGGCCATGTCCAGCCCCCAGCCCCAGCGCACACACCTCTGGCCGGAACTGACTGGAAGGCGCTGACCTCACAGTAGGCCTGTGAGGCAGGGAGGGTGGGGGCAGGGCCTCAGCCTGAGCTTCCTTCTCCCTTGGACGTGGGGACTGGGGCAGGGAGGGTGGACGGGCCTGGAAGCCGCTCCGCTGTCCTGGCCAATCTGAGACAGGCAGTGCTGGGCTGCCCAGCCGTGGGGGGATGGTGCTCCACAGGAAAGGGGGTGGGGCAGGGCCTGTGCTTGGGCCCTGGGGCAGCGGAGAGAGTGCCCCCGAAACCCAGGGAAGTCCACAGTAGGCAGCCCAGGCCTGTTTCTCTTTCAGTACAAGGGCTGCGGCGGTTCAGATGCGGCCTGGGTGGGGACCGATGTCACCACCGTTCCCCAAGGCTGGGGCAAGCAGGGGCTGAGTGTGGCCAGGGAGTGGACCTGTGCCTGCTGCCCTCATATTGGCAGTTTGGGGGAAGGTCCAGCCTATGCCCCAGGAATGCCCAGGTCTAGAGGGCCCAGGGGCCCCCAAACACCCAGGAGAGGTGGGAGGCACTGCCCACAGGCCATAGGCCTTCCCAGAACACCCTCTTCTGGGGGCTGGGGGCTCGGAAATGGCTGCAGGTAGCATCTGAGGCTCTGGCTTAAGCGTGTCATTCAAGGTGGCACCCTCTGCCACCTCAGGACCTGCCTGCTTGCCCCTCCCAGCCCCCGAGGGTGGGGTCCCTGCACAGCTTCCTGCAGACCAGGCAAGCTCTGCGCAAGGGACTTGCCCGCAGGCTGGCACAGTCAGGGTTAAGCTCAGCCTTCTCCCTGCCCCCCCCCCAGCACTGGCCCCTCCAACCACCACCCAGCAAGAGGAAGTGCCCCACCCCACAGCTGACCCACAGGGCTGGGGGGAGACACAGCTGGGTCCCAGCTGGCCCTGGTCATTTGGGACCTCCCTGACCCGACCCAGGTGGCCCACTCCTGGTGGGGCCCATGGGGACCCACTGGCAGCTCCTGACACCTCTGCACCTGCCGAGTGATGCTGTGAACCCAGACACACTGGGCTGTACCAACTCATTCACAAACCCAGTCCAAAGGGACATGCAGCAGGTGTGCCTGTGCGGGGCTGGCACTGCCACCCTGCCAGGCCAGTCCAGCAGGTTTGCATCCTGGTTAGGATGAAGGCACCCAGCCCAGTGCCAAGCGGATGCCGGGGTAGGCAGGCTCCGGGGCTCCACCGGCCCGCAGAGCACGATGCCCCTGGACTCTGACCGCACGGCTGAGCAGACGGCTGGGGGCCGAGGGAGGGGCTGCCAGCGCCAGAATCCTGACTGCTGAAGCTGAGCCTGGTTCCCGCGCGTGCCTCAGACCCTGTGGCAGTGCTCTGCAGGAAGGGGAAGCCCTTCGGGAATGCCACACGGCCACATGGAGCCGGCCACGTGCAGAGGTGGTGGGGGCTGGGAGGTGGCCTGGAGGGACCCACAGGGGGTTTGGGGGACAGTGGGTGCAGCACTAGGCCTGGGTTGCCTGGACAGTGGACACACTCCTTCCGAAGGGATTGTCGCCTGTGGGGACAGCCCACCAGGCTAGTGCTCCTTGGCACGGAGGCTGTGGCGCCCAGTGCAGCTCTGAAGGCCCCGCCCCGGGCAGCCAACACCCTCCCCCACCTCCTGGAACCTCAGTTCCCGGGTAGCGGGTAGTGCTGGCCCCAGTGCTGGCTCAGGACCTCGGACTGGCGCGCTGCCGCACTGGGAGGCTGGGCTCACCGGTCCCTTCGTGGGCACCAGGAGCTCAGCCCCAGGTGCACCCTGGTTACACATCAGGTGTGAAGGTAAGTGGCCTTCCTGAAAACACACTTCACTGGGGGCCTCAAGCGCTGTGGCCGCTCGACTAGTGTGGGACAGGTGGACAGATGTCCAGTCCCTCTCGCCATAACTGCATGTCCCAGGCAGCCCTCCTGCTGGGATGCAGGAAGCTCCTAGCTTAGCAGGGACGCCCGGCCACCTGCATGCCTCAGACGTTCTGAGGAGACCCTCCTGTCCCAGCGGCGGCCTGGGGCTCTGGGCCCAGCACTTGGGCGTGTGCTCCCTCCGCCTCAGGGGTGTCCACATGCCAGAGCTCCCTCGGGGCCAGAGCCCACCGGTGTGAAGCCCCGGCCCCTCCTGTGGTTCCCTCACCCCTTCCAGGAGCGAGGCCTGTCAGGCTGAAGTGGAGGCAGTATGCACGGAGGCCGGGGTCACGGGTCCATGAGGGGCCCACAGAGCCACCAGAACAGGGGAGGGATGAAGAACCAACTACTTTACTCTGCACTCTGGGGTCCCAGCAGGGGTGTGGAGGGGCGATGGAGTCACGGTGAGGGGAGGGACCAGGCAGGGTGTGGGGGCCAGGCTGCCCATGCTGCAGGGTGCAGGGTGCAGGGACGGGGCGCAGGGCCGGCGGCATCAGCTGCAGCTCTTGGGCAGGCGGTAGACTCCGGCGGCGTAGACCAGCTGCTGGTCGCGCACCTTCTTCTGCAGAAAGGCCTGCAGCTCCTGCAGGTCGATCTCGGCCAGCGCGGGGCCGGTGACCACGAACATGCGGAGCATGCTGTAGATGCGCTCCAGGGACAGGCTCTCCAGGTTGGTCAGCATGGCCTGAATGTACGTCCAGAAGAGCTGGGGGACAGGGGCTGTGTCAGCCAGGCCACCCTCAGGCCACCGCCCCGGAGCCCCAGCCCGGTGAGCCCCAGCGCACCAGCAGCTCCTCCTCCTTCTGGTCGGCCTGGGAGGCCATGCCCGAGTCGCTCTCGTCGTCGCTGTCGATGAGCACCATGTTGTCCCGGTCCTGGGGCCGCTCCTCCTCCACCACGGAGAAGGTGCCGGCGGGCTCCTCGCGAAGCACGCCCTGCTGCAGCCACACCGACATCCGCCTGCGCAGCAGCGCCACGGGCATCTTCACAGCCTTGCTCAGCGCCTCCAGGGTCCAGGTGGCTGTGGGCGAGGGGCAGGCACGCTGGGCCTCTGCCAGGCTGCCCTCCCTCTGCGCCTCAGCCCCGCAGCCCCATGGGGGAGCCCTGCCCGCCCCTCCCCCACAAGCAGGGCAGGCCTGGGCCCAGCCCAGCCAGCTCACCTTGGTCCTGAAAGTACAACAAGACCACGGCCTGCACAGGGGTCACTGCCACAGACAGGGTGCGGTCCGCCAGCTCCACGTCCATGGTCACCAGGCCCAGGGTGTGCTTCCAGCTGAGGGTCCGCATGGCCTGTGGAGGGCCGGGGTGAGCAAGGCACCCTGGCCTGCACCCCCGCACCAAGCAGGCAGGCAGCAGGGAGCGTGCAGGTGGGGCTCAGGGCCCCACCCCAACCACCACCACCCAGCAGACAAGGTGAGGAGCTGTGCTGTCTCCGACGCCCACCCCCAGGACCGCGGACTGTGACCCAACTTGGAAACGTGGGGTTAAGATGAGGTCATCTTGGAGTGGACGAAGGCCCAGTGTGATGTGGCCGTGTTCTCAGAGGAAGCGCACACGACGCAGACACAGGGAAAGGCCACGTGAAGACAGAGGCAGCGGCGAGGGACAAGGTCACAAGCCAGCAAGTGCCCGGGCTGGCTGGCACCACCAGGAGCTGGAAGAGGCCGGACTCCCTCCCACAGCCTTCAACAGGCACAGGGCCTGCGACAGCTCGGCACCAGCCTCCGGCCTCCAGAACTGACAAGGAACCTGTTGTTTCAAGGCACCTGGTCTGCAGCCCTTAGCGATGGCAGCCACCGAACAGGTTTTGGTCCTGGGAAGGGTGCTACCCTCAGACACCTCCCAGCGGGTGTGGCCCTGGGGCAGGCTGGGAGTTTGAGCTGCAGGCTCATAAAAGCCTGGAAGGGATGGGCGCTAGAAACACAGGCAGTGAAGGCCCCGGTGAGGTCTGTCCCGAGCACCTGCTGGAGGAAAGGCGGCAGACCTGGTGGTCTTCCTACTGGGGAGGAGCAGCACTTGTAGGAGCTGAACGTGGATACTGAGCTGAGACCCCCAAGCCGAGGGTAGAGCCACAGCCTGGTCTCTCCTTGTAAGAGGAAGAAACTGGCGAGCACAGGGACCGGGCACTGGACAACGGGGACACTCCTGTGTGCTCTGGAGACAGAGCCAGGAGAGTGGCCCGAAAGTTGGGCTGTGTGATGGTGGAACCAGCCAGCAGGCTCAGAGAAGCCAGGACAGAAGATGGGGGGCCAGGAAAGCCGCTGAGGGCCCTGCCCGCCTCCGACACCCTGCGTGGAGGCCAACGGGATTCCTCAGAAGCTGCTGGCAGAGGAAACGCCGCGAGCCTGGCGGGCAGGGAGACAGCCCGAGGAGCGCGCAGTGCGTGCCGGGCGGGAGCTGGTGGGCAGGTGGGGCCGCCACACAGGCCGAGGGGACGCCCCCCGCCAACAACAGCCTCAGAATCACATGGCACTTCCCCCTGGGGTGTGAGGCGGGCTGGGGCCTGTGCCCCTTCCCTCCGCTTCTCCCTGCTGGGATGGGGGTGCCTGTCCTGCACCGTTCCCTAACTGGGAGCCTGAAAGACCGTCACTGTCTAGTTTCCTGGGCTTGTGGCTGCAGATGGGCTGTGCCCCAAGTCTCGTTCTCACCTCACTTACGTGCGGTTTAGATGCTGGGAGTCGGGACTTTTGAGGTGGTGTTTAGATGAGACTTTGAACTCAGAGGTGGTGTTGGAGTGGCTAAGACTTTGGGAGCTGCTGAAATTGACTGATCATGTTTGCATGTGAGAAAAACATGAGTTTGGGGGTCCAAAGGGTAGACACTTATGAGCTGAACTGTGATCCCCAAAAGATAATAACATCCTGACCCCTGGCATCTTGAATGTGACCTCACTTGGAAATGGGGCCATCACAGACGCAGTCACGGCGAGGTCCCTCTGGAGGAGAGTGGGCCCTCGTGCAGCAGGACTGGTGTCCCCCAGCAGGGAAGCCCGGACACAGACACCGGGAGAAGCCGTGTGACAGCACAGGGTGGAGGCTGCACCTCCACCAGG